GTCTCTTTTCAACAGGGAGTTCTAGCTTCGAAGAGAGGAAGGGCTTTAAAAAACAAAAAAAAAGGCCAAGACTTAAGTTTCTGTCTGGTGGTGTGTCCAGCTGGCATCTGCTCTCCTGGAATGAGGTTCTGACTCACTCCAGCCCATAACAAAACCAAAACTCTCAATCCAGCATGCGTAACTTAAAGTGATGTCCATTTCCCAAGAGAGGATTCCTCATGCCATATTGATATCTTAGGCACACAGACACTCCAGGTTTGTAAGTTACAGAATTCTTTAAAGAAGGGGCGAAAGAATCCAGATGTTGGGCACAGAAGAGAAAATGGAGATCAAACATAGCTTATTAAGGACTTTCATCCACCCTCCGATGGAAAGCATAGGAGAACTTTTTGCTGTGTATTTTCCAGGATGTGACCCAGTCCATATGTGTTTTAACTACTTAATCACTGTGGCTTTTCCCCATCACAGTGGAAAAAAAGGGGTTTACCAGCTCACATCCAGCTGGAAGGATATTTAAGCAGCTGGTAATTGCTGCCTGATCGTTTCTGTGTACCTGCTGTGTGCATAGAGCTTGTCTGGCTCTGTGCCCATCCGATACATTCTCCTAATCCTGTTTCCTCACAGGAAAAAACTTTCAAAGAAGTTGTTTATTAAAAATGGCCTTCGTGGGCAGGAAATGGCCCATCTCACCTACCCAAATTAGTCAGAACCACTCTCCCACCTCACCTGCAAATGGTGACATTATCCAAACAGTTCCTTTCCACTCAAAACTGTAAAATGTAGTAAAAGTAGTGTTTCAGAACATTATCAACATTTTTCCTTGGTCACAAAATCTAATGTTCAATTAATAATTAACCACTGAATACTTCAAGGAAAAATAATACTTTTTGTTGTCAAATACATGTTGATTTTTACCCCTCTGCCATGCAACAGCAACAGACTCAGTGTAGAAGCCACGGGTTGATTATGCTGAAGAGGTGAACAAAAGTTAGCTTTAAAAAAGGAAATAGTCTGTTTTCTTTTTAAAATACCTGCCTATTGCAATCATCGCAGTTGATGGTGTGGCAATGCAGTTCAGGGATAGGCCCCATTAAACAGAGCATTTTGCACTTAGCTTTGCCCTCTGAAGGGTGGAGGTACAGGATAAGAGACAAGTGATGGGAGACAATGAATTTACAGGGAAACCACACAAGGCAAAACTGGCAAGCCCTGTACACCTGAGCCGGTCCCACACAGCCTGGCTCAGCCACTGCCAGGCTTTACAAGAGCAATCTGAAGGAGACAGAAGCAATTCTGTGGCGATTTTGATCAGCTGTACGTGCAAGAAGGGCTGTGGGCATGCAGGTGATTTACTGCCACTTATGGCAGAGAGCTCTGCTTAGTATCAAGCTACTGACATATGCACCAAACAACAACACTGGGCTCCCAGGTGGGCAGAAGCAGACAACCGAGAGCCTAAAGAAATATTGTTTCTCCACCTTTGGGGTTTGTGGCTTTTACACAGTTGCAGCTCAGAGGCTGGCAGGATGGCCAAGTGGCTGGCTCTGCAGCTGGAGCAGGGCTAGTGACAGCAAGGAGCTGAGTTTGGCTATGCAGATGAGTCTGAGAAGGGATCTTCAGGCCCGGGTAAAGGCTGCCTGTTAATTCTGCCTACAGCGCACAGCTGATGCTACTAGCACTGCTGAAATCCCAGTGCAAGCCCCATTTAATATCTCTTTTTAATATCATGAATATCATAAAACTGAAGCAAGACCTCAGAAAACAGGGAACACAAACACTCATTAGATACTTTGTTTTTAAAAAGTGGTACCTTGATATTCTGTTATGAGCCAAAAAAATTATTTCCTGGCCCCAGAGAGCATTTCAGAAAGAGGCAGCTCTCCCAGCTGTATTCAGAGAAACAGAAGTTTCCTCTTCCTGACTATTTCTTTCTTTCTAACTGGTCCTCCAGGTGCTAGAAAACACCATATAAATTCTTCTTTAAAAGGGATTTATTTACAAATCTGTGACATTTATGGAAACTGTAGAAACAGAATAATTTTTTGGCAGCATTAGCTACAGAAAAGTCTATTTAAGTTGACTGGAAAACAGAGTAAGGCTTTTATCTCTTCAGCTCCACCTGCATCATTTCTAAATAAATGCCCCCAATACTTGAAGTCTCTGTGAACCTCTTTTCAATACTCTTCCTCCTTTTGTCACTAACACCTGGTGACATTGCAGGATCCCTTCACATAGGGCAAAGAGAGATGTTTGGAATATCTGTGCCACCATTAAGTGCAAAGAGATGGGTTTCAGCACCATGCCCTATAAGATAACAGCTCTTGAGTGGACAGACTACCCTGGGCCTCTGAATTCCTCAGATATTTGCGATGCCCTAGTCTGCTTCTAAATATTTGCATTCTGAACCTCTTTGTACCCAAATTCCACTTATAAAGAGGTTTGTTTTATTAGGAAAAACATAATTCTGACCTATCAAGCTGGGAAAGCAGCTCAGACTTATCTGGGAACAGGTATAAGAAGAGAGTGTAGGGAGTGACTGTCCACTTCAGAGCTGGGGCAACACAGACTGTCACGTGAAGGACTGGAGAAATATTCTCCAAAACCAAGCAACAATTTAAATATCAGGAGGTTTCTCTTTCTTACTCGTACTGTGGATGCACCTGTATAACAGCCTGCAAGAAAGTGATAGTCGTGATCGCAAAAAACTTCCATTTACTTTGCACAAAGCTGACAGCAATACAATTCTGACCAACACAGGGATTACCTGACCATGTCCCTAGCCTTGTAGATCAAACCTCTCAAAATGAGAATTCTGGTAAGCAAAGATGACTGGGAAGTGGTTCCATGTTAGTGTGTCATTCCCCTGAAACACCCTAAACTTACCAAAATTTTCTCCTCCCCAGATGTCCATTTGAGTATCATATTTTCCCAGGTGGTTAAACCAGGACTTGTCAATCACAAAGATGCCTCCTGCTATGACAGGGGTTCTGGAAAAGAAAACACAAGCCCCCCCAAAACAATCACATGTAGATGTAGCACCACCATCTTCATTTCAGAGGGGTGGCAATTTGTCCAGGCCTGACAAATTGTATTTCATTTAAAAGAGAAAAACAGTAGAGCTGGGACGTGAACCTGCAGCAGGCTTCTGAGATCCCCCTCACTATATCACCCTCCTGCCTTAGTTAGATGGTCCTGCAAGCACTACATGATTAATTCTGCATCTTTTGCATTTATACAAATATGCACAGTGTAAAGGAATGACAGGGGCACTGTCTGATGACTGTGTTCACCAAGTAGAGACGGTGTGAGAGACTTTGCTGATGAATGTACTGCTCTGCTGTTAGCAAGCTGGTTGCTTCTGGAGTACAAAACACAGGCTCACAAATTACACAGAGGAACTGAATGATACTTCTATGTTACAAACACAGAGCTGTCTGCCTATACAGACAAGCACTGTGACTTTTTATATCAGGTTTTGTCACATTCTACATTCCACAGAGCCATGTACACAGCAGCAAGGCTGGCAATAACTGTTCCAGACAATAGAGTCTGTTTTGTCCATGGACACATGGACATATTTAGAAGAGAAGGATAACTCTGTGCCCAAATGACTAGGCAAGATTCAGTTCCCAGGTCTGTTTTACACTTCCAGGGTGACTGTTCAGCTGCTTCATTCCTTAATTCTTCACCTGAAAGATGGAGGTAATTAAAAAAACCCAAAGGGATTTCTAAGGCATTCAGAGTGTTGAGTGAGACCACAAAACCAAACATATAGAAGAAGAGGAGGCTTGTAGAGATGGCATGCCTACAAGCCTATGATAGTATATAATTGCTTTGAATATTCAGGCAGTAATACTCTCAGAATTAAGGTATAGACTTCCATGCATTCAGAAAATAACATGAAGAGTTTGTCATCACCAAGTGAACACTGTGGCATTTTGTCCTCAGCAAGGCAGTCCTTATGCACTCCTTGCCATACAGGTGAAGGCTTTGGAAAGGCATTTGGAGGGACTGCACACAGTCCATCAGAGACAGCTACCTTATAGACTGAGTTGGGTCTGTTCTGGACATCTTCTGCTCTATAGGAATCTGCTCCCACTTAAAGTGAAGGCTCCAGTCAAACCCTGAGAAGGAAAAAAACATGTAAAATAGGTTATGCTACTGTTTTTTGACTAGCTTCAGTGATAGTCTCCACCTTTATATCACAGGCTATCTCTACTTTCATTTCCTGACCTCCCTCATGGTCTACCCAAAATGGCAAGAGTCTATCCTAATGTAGCTAAGAAGTCACCAGCTTCTGTCTTGGCATCCTCATCCATTAGTATTACAGATCTCTGCTCAGCTCCACTCCATATCTTCAGGATGGTGTTGTCAGTGTGAGATATAATTGCATTTTGACCAGTCTGTCTTACACTTCCTTGTCTGCTAAAGTTACGAGGCTTTAATCAAAGGACTTTGTGGGATGTGATGTATTCTGGGAACAAAGGCCTGCAAATCATTGTCACCATCACTTCTTCAAGACAACCATTTATTCATAGCTGGCCTGTGGTGGATAGTTGAGCACAGCATAATCACTAACATTATACCTTTGTTAAGGGTAGCCACAGAACGAGTAGCCTTTGGCAGGCAAGCAGTGTGGCAGCGAACCCCAGCCATAGAAGAGGGAGAAGAGCACCAGGCACTGTGGTGGGTGACCGCAGGAACAGCTGCAAGGGGGTTCAGCTGCCAGGAGAGAGGTGAAAATGCTTTTCAGAAGATGCCATGAGATAGCCTGGTAGATAGGAGCAGCAACTGGAAGTGCCTGTCAAACTCCAGTGTACATGTAGTGTAGGGAGGGCACAGTGATATGTTTAATCAGTTAACTAGGCCTGTTGATCAGTTAACTAGGCCTGTTGATCAGTTAACTAAGACAGTAATGCAAGCTCAAGAGGAAAACACTGGTTGGCTTTTGTTTTAATTCTGCAAAAGATCTGACTTTGCAAGTTGCAGGAAAAAGAGGACAGAGAATCCATCAGTTAAGATCATCACTGTTTTCTTAGAAAGCTGAAGAGAACATCAATTCTTTTTCAGGCACCACCACTCAGGCCTAACTTACACAACCCATTCATTATACCCACCTCCCCTCAGATCTGCTGATGCTGCCAGGTAGGCAAAATTATCCAGGCTGATAACATCAATGATCGGACTCACCACTCGGGTATAATCCTGAGGGAGAGAGAGAAGGGGGGGGGGGGGGGAAAAAGGAAAAAAAAAAGAGTCAGGCTTTTCTTGTATGTCTGGCAAAGCTGCCAGAGATAAGAAAACACAAAGGTGCACATGTTTGGCTTCTAGTAGCTGAGCAAGGGATCTGTGGCCACTACATCCAAACATGGAGATGGTGGGTATTAGCCAGCTGCACACCATGGATGCAAGGAATGAATCCTGGGACCCCAGCACCCAGGACTGCTGCTAAGAAACAGCTCTTTAATTCCTGCCCAAGTCACAGGGCATGAGTCACTGTCCCAAAGGTTTTGTGCTTGGTTTTGATATCTACTGACAGCATACTTTCTGCTCAGCCATCCTCAAATTAACTCATTATCATCAACCTAGAAATGATCAACCCACTAATAAAACATCTTCCTAACAAGTACTATGAATCAAAATCCCACACTTAAGAATCATGGTGCAAACTGAAAAAAACATATTATAATATTAAGAATTCGGGGGTACTTTATTGGCGCTAAGGGGTATAGATATTTACAGTTTCCCTTTGCAATTCTTTTATTAACTAGAGGTTGAGATTATAACCATTTTTCAACATCATGAGATGTTGACAGTCTTCTGATAGCTGAAATATATGACAAAACAGAGAGCCACCAATGCCAGAAACAGCATCTTGTTATCGGACAACTGCCAGCCTCCACACTTTTTCTATCAAACCTTCATTTTGTGCCTTACAATAGTTCCTCCTGTTGTAATGCACTTGGCCAGGATGGCACGTCCTAGGTGACAGCTATCATTCATGTTTATTCCCCTCCATGCTGCAATGGCTGCACAGTGGCAGTATGTCTGTCCAGATGGAGTCCCCCCAGCACCCACGCAGCAGCCACTGCTTTAACCAGCCAATGCTAGGACTGGGTAGGGCAAGACTGAAATCTGAACTAGGATGCACATCAGAAATGTAGGAAGTAGGTCAGAAATAGGCTGACTTGAAATCTGCTCACTAAATAATACTGGAGTCGGCACCCAAGCTTTTGCAACATACATCCTTCCCTGAATAAACCAGCGAGGTCCTTTCTGCTTAAAGACCCCTATGCTGCTGCTGCTGCTGCAGCTTGACTTAAGAGCAGTAGTAAAGTAAACATTTATGGGCTTCCGAGATGGAGGATTTATTGAGCAGGAATAAAAAGCAGAAGCTTTTAAGTCATCAATCCTGAAGTTTCAACTTCTGCTCCTTCATATTAAGCCAAGCAGACACGAATACAAGGCAGCATTAAGAGACTCCACCCCTTCTCCTGGGGCCTATTACTGTATGGAATCCTCCTTTCAGAGAAGGGGATCAGTCCCTGACCCTTGCAAGCATGGCTGTGACTTCTCTCATCACCTCTCCCCTGTTTGCTCTTACAGTGAAGCCATGCCTCCCCTTCCAGCCTACACTGCAGTCAGGGTGACAGCTGCTAATATTCCTCTTTCATTTTCACTCTTCCAGCCTCACGTCAATCCTTTCCCAAGTAAACCAGCAAAGGGACATCCTTGCACTCACAGGCAGCTCCTCTGTGCTAGGAAGCCTGCCTGCATGCGGGTGGTGTGTGTTGGCAGCTCAGCAGAAGCATTAATGGAAGTAAAGTTTTGGCAGTGAGGAGGCAGAAGGGAGGGTCCAGCAGCAAGAAGGGAGATAGCAAGTGTGGGAAGGTTGCATAGTGTGTGCTGCCAAAGCGGCTACCCTACATACACGTGGACAGGACTGGGAAGCACAGCACCAGCAGGAGACCTGAGATATAAGTTAGTGGTTCAAGTGTTCACCATGGCATCCCATCACTGAGCACCTCCTGCCCTGCCACATTAGCAGGGGAGCGTAGAAGCCCATCAGGGTTCTCTTGCCCATATAGCTCAAGCTGTACCTTCCTCTGTGACAGCCTGCCTGAGGAGTACCTGGGAATGCTGTCCTTACTGGCATTGCTGATGGCATGTGAGGGCAGAGGATCCACCAGCACAAAACAGGTCAGCCCCACCCATTTCAGAGGAGGAGATGGTGCTCACCTCTTTCACTCTCTGAAGCATTGGCTGGCGGCCATCGCTGTTTCG